GTGTGGTTACTTGCGTATATGTGTGTGGTGTGGGTGGCTACTTGCGTGTGTGTGTGCGTGTGTTGTGTGTGGTTACTTGCGTGTGTGTGTGTGTGTATGTGTGTTGTGTGTGGTTACTTGCGTGTGTGTGTGCGAGTGTTGTGTGTGGTTACTTGCGTGTGTGTGTGTGGGTGTTGTGTGTGGATATTTGCGTGCGTGTGTGTGTGTTGTGTGTGGCTACTTGCGCGCGTGTGTGTGGTTACTTGCGTGTGTGTGTATGTTGTTGTGTGTGGTTACTTGCGTGTGTGTGTTGTGTGTATCCATTGCCTCCTTCTTTATACGAATAATTGTGGTGTTCAATGCAGTTTCTTGTGACCTGGTGTGTGCGTGTGTGTTATTCTTTACAGCTTACAGCGCTATACCGATGTGTCTAGTGATCGGTGTTTATAAGTTACGCGTGTATATATACATGCATCGATGTGTTTAGTGATCGGTGTTTATAAGTAACGTGTGTATATATACATGCATCGATGTGTCTAGTGATCGGTGTTTATAAGTAACGTGTGTATATATACATGCATCGATGTTTCTAGTGATCGTTGTTTACAAGTTACGTGTGTATATATACATGTATCGATGTGTCTAGTGATCGGTGTTTATAAGTTACGTGTGTACATATATATGCAATGCTGTGTCTAGTGATCGTTGTTTATAAGTTACGAGTGTATATATACATGCATCGACGTGTCTAGTTATCATTGTTTATATGTTAAGTGTGTATATGTTCATGCATCGATGTGTCTAGTGGTGGTTGTTTAAAAGTTACCTGTGTATATATACATGCATCGATGTGTCTAGTGATCGTTGTTTATAAGTTAAGTGTGTATATATACATGCATGGATTTGTCTAGTGGTGGTTGTGTATATGTTACGTGTATATATATACTTGCATCGATGTGTCTACTGGTGGTTGTTTATAAGTTACGTGTGTATATATACATGCAATGATGTGTCTAGTGGTGGTTGTTTATAAGTTACGTGTGTATATATACATGCATCGATGTGTTTAGTGGTGGTTGTTTATAAGTTACGTGTGTACATATACATGCATCGATGTGTCTAGTGATCGTTTTTTTGATAAGTTACGTGTGCATATATACACGCATCGATGTGTCTAGTTGTTGTTGATTATAAGTTACGTGTGTATATATACATGTATCGATGTGTCTAATGGTGGTTGAGAATAAGTTACGGGTGTATATATACATGCATCGATGTGTCTAGTAACGGTTGTTTATAAGCTAGTGGGTGTTTGCTATCATACATTTACGTGTGGTACCAGTGAGTGGGTATGTGTGTTTACGGATGCGTCCGACAAAAGTTCTGCTATATCTCACCGATGACTCTAAACCCCAAACCTTTCACTCTCCTCTGAACGTATCGCCTCTGTACACCTGTTGTTACCTACCTCCTCTGCACACCTGTTGTTACCTACCTTCTTTGTACACTTGTTGTTACCTACCTCCTTTGTACATCTGTTGTTACCTACCTCCTCTGTACACCTGTTGTTACCTACCTCTTTTGTACACCTGTTGATACCTACCTCCACTTTATATCTGTTGTTACCTACCTCCACTGTACACCTGTTGTTACGTACATCTTTTGTACACCTGTTGATACCTACCCCCACTGTACATCTGTTGTTTCCTACCTCCACTGTACACCTGTTGTTACCTACATCCACTGTACACCTGTTGTTACCTACCTCCTCTGTACATTTGTTCTTACCTACCTCCTTTGTACACCTGTTGTCACCTACCTCCTTTGTACACCTGTTCTTACCTACCTCCCTTGTACACCTGATGTTACCTACCCTCGCTAGATGGCCACTCGGCATGCGACTGATTTCCAGCCGTTCCTTGAGGAGAGCACCGCATTGGGTCTGCGCTTTATCAGACACGACCCACAGATTTGCGACGACGACGACGACGAAGCAGAGAATATGAGCACAGACGAGGACAGGTGCTCTCTCTCTCTCTCTCTGTGTGTGTGTGTGTGATAGTGCTGTGTGTGTGTGTGTGTGTGTGTGTGTGTGTGTGTGTGTGTAGTAGTGTGTGGTGTGTGTGTGGTAGTGTGTGTGTGTGTGTGTGTTAGTGCTGTGTGTGTGTGTGTGTGTTAGTGCTGTATGTGTGTGTGTGTGTTAGTGCCGTGTGTGTGAGATTGAGTTAGTTCTCTCTGTGTGTGTGTGTATGTGTGTGTGTGTGTGAGCGAGAGAGTTAGTGCTGTGTGTGTGTGAGAGTTAGTGCTGAGTGTGTGTGTTTTGCATCTCTTAACCGGTGTCTATATTTCAATATATACCACTTGCTAACCTGTGTCTATACTTCAACATATACCACTTGCTAACCTGTGTCTATACTTCAATACATACCACTTGCAAACCTGTGTCTATATATCACCGCAGTGACGAAGAAGACCTAGACGACGACGACGATGAGTACTATGACGACGATGACATGTCGTGGAAGGTGCGGCGACAGAGGTGCGTGCACTTCTTATCAGTAGATCAGTAGTGTTGCATTTTCTGGGCTGTGAAGGCGTGTGTGTGTTTCAGTGTGAGTAAGAGTGTGTGAGAGTGTGTGTTTGAGTGAGTGTGTTTGAGTGTGTGTGTAGTGAGTGAGTGTGTGTGAGTGAGTGAGTGTGTTTGAGTGTGGGTGTGTGGGTGAGTGTGTGTGTGTGGGTGAGTGTGTTTGAGTGAGTGTGTTTGAGTGAGTGTGTGTGTGTGTGAGTGTGTTTGAGTGAGTGTGTTTGAGTGAGTGTGTTTCAGTGAGTGAGTGCGTGAGTGTGTGTGTGTTTGAGTGTGTGTGTTTGAGTGTGTATGTTTAAGTGTGTTTGTGGTTATGTATGATGTGAGGTACATTTGTCAAGGAAGGGCCACTCACATTTGTTAACATCTTTAGTGCGCCACCACAGCCTCTGCGCACTATATGTTGGGTGCTCGTTTATTGTCCACTATTGCATGGACCATTATCACTGATGAATTGTCGCTGCACAACCATCGCCTCTGTGCTATTCGGGGGAAAGGGGAAGCGCATCATCACCCTGTGTTTGATTGTAGGCCACATTTATGAGGCATTCCGGTACTTCATATCGACCACATACACCCTTGGCCACTTCTAGTGCTCGTTTATTGGCCACTATTGTACGCACACGGCCCGCAATGTTGGGTCGACACTACACCACCATCGCGCCAGTGCTGGTAAAGCGTCTTGATAAGGAGCGCGAGATGACTGTCAATCTGGAGGTCTTTGCCGCGTTCGATATTTTCTTGCGTTTAACTCGTACCGACAAGTCTGACCAGGTAGGTATCCACGTGTCTGAAGATGTGACATAATGTGTATGTGTATGTGCACATACACATAAACATACACATACACCTACACATACACATAATGTGTATGTGTATGTGCGTGCATGCGAGAGAAAGAGCCTATACGCGTGCTTACACATGAAGAGAACTTCCGGTGTGTATATGTATTGCTCTGATGTGTGTTTGTATTCCGTGTGTCTATCTGTGGCTGTTGCATCTTCGCGTGCCGATGTGTGCGCGCGTGCATATGCCTGGGCATACGTCAGTGGTCATGTTAAGTTATATGTGTCTGTCTGTGCCCTATGTCCCGTATCTTTTCTCTCACATCATACCGTCGGCTCTCCTTCATCGCAAAGTTGATCTTCAGGTACAGTGTCACTGTACAGTAAACAGCACATCGGTTGTGCTACATAATGTATAAACGCACCTATCTATTCCTACCTACGCCTGAGTCATTAATTCCTATCTATGCCTACCGCCCGTTGCTACCTGTTATTTATCAGATGAGGCTATCGACTGCCATGGAAAAGGACTCAGTGTATCCAACAAATACGTATCTACATTCTTACCTGTCCCTGCGGCCTACTCCTACCTATCCCTGCGGCCTATTCTTACCTATCCCTACCTCCTATCCCTACCTATACCTACCGCCCATTGCTACCTGTGCTTCACCAGATGGGACCGTCGTCTGCCATGAAAGAGGACTCAGTCGATCAAACGCCTGTGGAGTCGTTGGCCCAACTGACTCCTGTGGTAGTGAAGACCGTGTGTGCGCAGATGAAGGTAGGTAGAAGTGCGTGTGTGTGCATTGCATGCGCATGTTGCATGCACAGTCAATTGTAGACCACGCATGTTGTTTGTGTGTGC